TATTCACCTTGCAACTGGATGAATAACAGGTCTATTTCGACTATTCACCCTGCAACTTGATTAATAACAGGTCTATTTCGACTATTCACCCTGCAACTTGATTAATAACAGGTCTATTTCGACTATTCACCCCATAACTGGGTGACTAACAGGTCTTTTTCGGCTATTCACCCCGCAATTGGGTGAATAACAGGTCTACATGTATTTCGGCTATTCACCCTGCAACTGGGTGAATAACAGGTCTATTTCGGCTATTCACCCTGCAACTGAGTGAATAACAGGTCTATTTCGGCTATTCACCTCGCAACTGGGTGAATAACTGTTCTATTTTGACTATTCATCCTGCAACTTGATTAATAACAGGCCTATTTCGACTATTCACGCTCTAACTGGATGAATAACAGGTCTGTTTCGACTATTCACGCTGTAACTGGATGAATAACAGGTCAATTTTGACTATTCACCCTGTAACTGGATGAATAACAGGTCTATTTTGACTATTCACCCTGCAACTTGGTTAATAACAGGTCTATTTCGATTATTTACCCTGAAACTTGGTTAATAACAGGTCTATTTCGACTATTCACCCTGCAACTTGGTTAATAACAGGTTTATTTTGACTATTCACCCTGCAACTTGGTTAATAACAGGTCTATTTCGATTATTCACCCTGCAACTTGGTTAATAACAGGTCTATTTCGACTATTCACCCTGCAACTTGGTTAATAACAGGTCTATTTTGACTATTCACCCTGCAACTTGGTTAATAACAGGTCTATTTTGACTATTCACCCTGCAACTTGGTTAATAACAGGTCTGTTTCGACTATTCACCCTGCAACTGGGTGAATAACAAGTCTATTTAGACTATTTGTTCTGCAGCTAAATGTCATTGGTTATCCCCAAAAATAAACCTTGTTCAAGATTTCAGAAACATTCAATAAAAAAACAAGGCAGTATCAATCAGAAATTAAAAAAAAAAACAATTAGAAAAAATTTGAGGTTCATGGATCAAAAACATTGGAGTATGAGGTCCATGTACAAGCAGCTATTTGACATTGTATTGAATGTTTTGCTACTTGTAAGCTAATGAAAGTCTAATCTATGGGTGATAATTGGATACATGTACACTTGTATGTATATCATTTTTTTTACATCTGATGTTATTGACTGTGGTGTGAAAAGTGCATGGCGACAGATAAATGTATGAGGGGTAAACAAAATATACTTGAAAGGTTATCATCTGTAATCAACATCCATATTAGCGTAGTGGCAATAATGTACATAGCATTGTTGACTCCTGTGTAGTGCAACAAAATGTATCAAATATATAAAGTCAATTAAAAAAATAGTGTTTTATTGCTGATGTAAAGAAAAAGTTACATTTCAGTTTAGTATGTACTAAACTAGTTTTTCTTAAACCAAATTTAACTAAACATCGAAAACAAGGAACAAAAATTTTTTCAGCTGACATCAGCTGGGAATAACCAATCTTAAAATCAAAATATAGTCAATGTAGAAGTCAGATTCTAACTGTTTTACTGTGAAATACTTTATTTTTGGATGGAATTAATTTTCACTG